GACCCCCCCCCCCCCCCGGCTCAAACACAGTAGCACAGACAAATAAAGTAAACACAGTAACACGAACAAAGTAAGAGCACAGATGAGACGAAAGAAGCACACAACACTAGCAATTTACGTCCAAAGCACACGAAGCACACATGCACAAGCTACCAACTAAGGCAATACGAGCATGAACTGCAAACTATGGCTCAAAGGTCTACCCAACTACTATAATCCTAGACATCCAGGTGTTCCTGAATAAGGGATTAGGGTATTAATTTGTGAAATGAACACTACCAGTTGCAACAATCAATGTTGAACAAACGTTAAGTGCAATAATATTCATCAATACTTCACTTTGATGCTATTTTCGTGATGATGTGCCAAATGAAAATATTTGAGAAAGTATTGAGCTTTTAGGGGCATAGAGGGGTAGACCGGGTAGTTGACTGTTCTTATTAATGTTGCACATTTTAACTCATTTGTAACGATCATATGTATTGCATCACTTCTCAGCTGCTAGCCTTGACTAACATGACTCTCATACTTGGTAAAGACTTGATATGGCTATTGACAAAGTTAATCACTCATCGAGGGAAGGGTTTTTAATGAACCTTGTTTGGTTCAGGAGGGGAGGAGAGTGATTAGTGAATACTTGTTTTTTTTTACTTCAATTTGAATTGCTCAACTGTAATAATAATAAAAAACTCCAAAAGTTTGAGTTATAAGTCAGGAAGTGATATATTATGCATTTTATCACGAAGTATTTGTGTTGTTTACTTTTATAACGTATATAGGATATTAAAAATCTATGTTATAATTCAGGATGTAATACTCCGTACATGATAAGATGATAACTTCAATCCTCATGGAAGCGAACTTGACATGCAAGAACAGCAACATTCAAAAAAAACTTCATGAAGCAAAACTATTTTCAAGCAAGTTTACAGGGCAAATGGCATTAGCAACTTAAAATCAGTCATATGGCTGCAATTATGTAAGATGCACTTACTGTGTTACATGCTAAATGCCTGACATTCTGAGATGGTGCCCCCAGACCAACGACAACGAAAGGCTGAAGAGGAAGACAATAATAACTCAAATTCCAAAGTAGTAGCATTGTATAATTCAAAAAAACGCATGAATTTGTAACAGTGATACAGACATCTCGACTCAAGACATGCAAACCAACAATAACACGTGTAAGTAGGTGCATAAGTTTTTCATCACCCAAAAGGATTTTCAAGATGTGAGGTTTACCTAAATTTTATATGTAGACTCAAGTCTTAACCCTAGGGGTGGACAAACGGGTCCAAACCAATCCCAAACGGAACCCACTATAGAGTATTAGATTTTACAATGAGACATATGACTTTATAATTACCTTGAGGCAGAAAAACTAATTGATTTGATTTAATCTTCTAGTTTTCTACAATGACTTGGCTCATGTACATTATAATCTTACATATAGAACACATTTTTGCAACCCCTAATCAATTATAAATTCTATCGTGATGAACAGAAACCTTGAAGAAGAAGTAAGTTTGCAATACCAATAGCATACACATAGAATAGAATACCATGAAAGTTGGGATCAGAGATGCTCCATATTTGGTCCTGAAAACCCTTTCCAGACAATCAACCAAAGCTTTCTCCAGGGCGGGATAATCAGATTTCGTTTGCAAGGCACTATGCGGAATTGCAAAAAAGTTCAGAAATAAACAACCAACCAAAAGCAAATCACATAAGCTTAGTGCATAGATGAGAGAGCAGAACATGTTCTCCCTACTTGATAATGGCGGGAAGAGGGAAGCGGCCTAGGAATTCCCGAGCAGAAGCATCGGAATTCGGACCTGAAATTGGACGATACTGCTGATACGCCGAGTTGATCGATGATAATAAATAAAAATTAAACCAAAACGAAAAAGAAAAATTGGAAATAATTAATCGGAAACTTATATACCGGGATGATAAGCGAACTCAGTAGCAGCTTGCAGTAGCTGAGCTACATCGGCAGAGCATTCTTCTTCCATGGCGGTTTCTGGAAGCTGATTAAAATGACGGCAATGTCACTGTGAAATTGAAGAGAGAGATTTCTTCTGTAATAAATTTAAAACCAGAAAATAAAAATGATCAAAGCTTTTGGGCTTTTTGGCTGCCTACCCGTTTAACTTTGGGCACACTCCCACCGTAACCGAGTGGGTCTGTCCGAACGGGTCACATTGACACGTGGAAGTTTCTCTCGCAGTGTCATGAACCCCTGTTTGGTATCCGCCCCCAGAGATTAACATTGGTATTTTAAAAATCTATCTAACAGTAATTTTTTGCATTATCGTTTTAGAATTAATCTATACTATTAAATTTTTATCCAAAATATGAACATCAATCAGAAATGTTTTTCCCAAATAATGCCATTAACACCTAACTCACCCCAATCATATAAATATACTCAGCTATTTTATATCTAGGTTAGTTTGTATTAAATGAGAGAGTGTGTGGATTAGGTGTCACGTTTTTATTGATAAAGCAGAGACTTAAAACAATATTTGAAGGTAAAAGATCTCGATCTCACAACTTGAGATGATTCAGGTAGCCAGTGGAACCTACCTTAATAGCACTCGGGGACGATTTTTGATAAATCAATTATTACCTTTTCCTCCCTAAAAAACATAGCAATCTAAAATAAAATAAAACATTAACTTTTTTCAATTTGTTATATTTACAGGTTGGCATTAAAAAATAAATTTTATATAGAAAAAAATATGTCAAACATTCTACCGGAGTATAAAATAAAAGATAACAATAATATTTGATTTTATTAAATAACTAATAAAAATATCGATAAAAATTATCGTAAATTTTAAATATTATATTGTGATTCTAAGGTCAATACTTATTTTAGAGATCTTAGTACGAAAATATCATGAAAGAAATGAACCTTTGGTATAAAGATAAAAATCCATTTGTAAGTCTATAAAAAATGTAAGAAATTTATATTTTACATGTATACCTTAAAACCATAAAAGCAACTCTTTTAAGAACAAAAGGATAAATCACATATTTTATTATACATTTTATTTTATCAATTACTCGTAATATTTTTTTTTATTTATACATTTACTTTCTGTCTCTCTATCTTGTCCCTAAATAGATTGAACATTTTGCTAGTCAAGTACGGAGTACTACGTATCATGAATTATTTTATTTATTTGTATATTTTTATTTATTAATTGATAAAATAAAATATTTTGTCAATTTTGTTTCATAGTATTTTATGTTGTTTTAAAAAACATAAATTTAATTTTTTTTAGTTTTGTTCTTTTTTTAAAGATCATAAATACAATTGATTTTGGAATAGAGGAAATATGTTATTTTAATTTTATTTTAATTTAAAATCTACTTTGAATTTAATATTTTTTCCCGCTCCACAAGCTGTCCTTTGTTTTGTTCCCCTCCCAAATCCAGTATCCGTTCAAGCCGCAGCCCATCGGTGGTGTAACCGGAAGCCGCCGCGAATGGCGTCGACGTCAGGCCAACGCAGCGGCGCCCCTCTCGGAAAACTCAGATCAGTCACGGGAATGCTCGACTCAGACAATCAGTCCCTTATCAGAGTATGAGCGCTCGCCTCCATTCTAACGATTTGATTGACATTTTCCTGTGATATGTTTCATAGCTTCGGTTTTTTCTTTTAATCTATTTTCACCGATGTTTAGGAGATGAGGAAGGCTATGAATCTAATGAAGGAAGTTGCAGTTGATTTGGAGAAGGAAAACATGTCAGATAAGGTGCGTCCTTATAAATCCCGTGAGCTCTGGCAATTTTTTTGCTACTCAATCGAGAAAAAGAGGCAAAAAGCATATTCAATCGTTAATACTATGGATTGTTGGAATTGTAGTCTTTGTTGCTGCATTCAAAATGGTTTTTCTTCGTCATCGTTACAGTGTAGGACACTTTAGGGTTTCTTGCCTATACATCAGAAGTAAGTGTTGCACAAATTTGTTTCTTGGACAAATAGTGATAAAATAAAAATGGATATGCTTATACTTCGATATTACGGAGTATAAACTCATTGTTAATCAAAGATGATCGGAATGCCTTTCTAGTAATTGGATAGGTTTTGCACTTTAGGGTCTGTTTGGAAGATCGTTTCTGATTGTATTTGAATGCACTCTTAGCCAAAACCATCTAGAAGCATGTTTGAGAAGCTTGGCTGTATGGATTAATGTAACTTACTCCATATAATTATAGGTGTTTTTTAAAACATAATGTTTGGGTATTTTTAAGCTGGCTTTGCAAATCACTGATTTGGTGATTTTTTGGTTGTGTTGTACTTTTTCCTATGCCAACTTCATTACACATCACAAACAGTGTGTTGTTTAACATTGTTTGAAGTTATACATTAACTTGAGAATGAATCAATCAAACTCAAACATCCCCTTTTTCAAAGCAATGATGAACAATATCATAATACTGTTAAATATTAATTGAACATCAGGAAAGTAGTTCTCCACCAAATATACTTCCTTTGTTTTTAAGTAAATGCAATGGAAAAAGGTTTTGCATTGTTCATTCCCTCTCATTTGATTTCATCTTCTGTGATTTATATATAAAGAAAAACATATTCATGTGAAGTCTTGTTAGATTTGTCTTGATATAAACTTTTGTAATGTAGACTTGTAATAATTTTTTACTAAAATATGATGGAAGATATTGATGATTTACTTTATTCATTGACAAATGTGAAAATTGTGATGTTGCATTTATTTAAGGATGGAAGAAGTATTATCTTCACATTTTTTTCTACTCTAGTGAATTATTGGCGGGTTTTCAATATGGCTAATTAGTTTGATAAATTTATTTCAGATCTTAAAAAATATTTATGAGTAGTGAAGTTTATATTTCCATATGAAGTTCCATTTCATTTTTACTCAAATGTGTACGGTTCTATTGTGAGACATCAAAAATAAAATTTTTGTTGATGAAATACATAGTCATAACTTAAAAAAAACCATAAACAACAACAACAACCCAGTTGAATCCCACTACAGTAGGGTCTGGGGAGGGTGTGTGTACGCAGACCTTGCCCCTACTCGGAAGCAGGGAGGCTGTTTCCAAGAGACCCCCGGCTCAACCTGGACAAAAGATATGGTAGGGGAAAAAACCATAAACAATGCAACAATTTCATTGAGAATTAGCATATACCGTGTCAAGTAGTTATTTGAGTTGAAGTAGAAATTTTTTGGAAACCGTATTGCCCTTCCTTATGCTCAAATTAAAATAAGTGTTGCTAAGCTGAATTCAACACTGCAGGTGAAGGAGCTTGAAACTGGTCTTGTTGAGATGCTGGAAACTTCCAATGACTGTTTGCATTTTTCTAATGCAATCCAAAGTATCGGAAATGTGTATGAACCTGGACCAGAGGTGTGTTTTCTTCCATTTGCATCTGTTTCCTAAGCATATTTTTCTTTTTGTTTTCCAGCTCCAATGCTGGTACCAAACTATAGGGGGTTCCAAATCATTGACTCATGACTCCTATTTTCATGTGATTTTAGCCAACAGATTTTAAGAAGTTGTTTGATGCTGAAATTAGAAAATCTAAAAAAATTTCTCCCTCTCAGAATCATGCACTACTACGACAATTTAGGGAAGCTGTCTGGGTATGTTCGTATATCAGATCTATTAATTACAAACAATGTTGTTACCATCTTTAACTTTCTCTACACTGCTGCTTACACTATTTTTTAAAATTTTGTACTTTTTGTCTTTGTTACTTCTCTTTCAAGTATTGAAACTGAATGTTGTAATTTCATTTCATCTTGTTTGTCTGAAAAAGTTGTGCACGCATGGTTAAACTGTATCTGAATTCAACCCCCTTTTCTGTAAATAAACAGTTCAGATCCTGCGCAAAGTTGCTGACAAACATTTTGCATCTTGCATTCGATCTAGATTGAGGAACGCTTGGTTTGAACCCAAGCTATAGTTTAAACATACAAACATCCCCATAACTATTGATTAGTGATCACATGAGGCCTTCACTTTCTGTTTTTTTAAAATTATTTAAATTTGCAGAATGTTCATCATGCTGGACAACCAATGCCGGGAGAAGAGGAAGATGATATTGTAATGACCAGTTCAGCCTGCAACCTCCTTAATGTGACTTGTCCCTTAAGTGGAAAGCCTGTCACAGAGTTAGTCGAACCTGTTAGAAGGTCTGGTAAAAATATAATGTTTAGTTTTACCTTGGACTTGACTTCAAAAAAAGGTTTGCCTTGGATAATAGAAATCAAAATATTATTTGATAATTAAATAAATATATCTGTTTATCTAGACTTCTTACTCTTTAAATAATACAAGTAGAAATACCTAAACAAAATGAGTTTGAACAAATGCATCTCGGGTGATCCCTTGAGCTTGAACTGATTTATTAATTTTCCATCATACTTTCTTTCCTTCCAAGCTGCCCTTCATTCCCCTTTATATTTTCTTGACCTAGCAGTTCATGGGTTCCAAATAGACTTCTAGCGCCCTGACTTTGTGCTTTGTAATTGGTATAGCCGGGAGTGCAAACACATATTTGAGAAGGCAGCTATTATGCGACACATAAAGAATGCGCGTGGCAGATGTCCTGTTGCAGGTACTGCATCCCTTTATACATCCATAAAAAGGTTTGCTATGTTTGGCGACAACCTTTTCTGGTCTAAACTTATGTGAATGCATCAGTCCAATTGTCTAGTAAAAAAGGTCATATTTGAACTCTAGTCCTCAAAGACACAGAGGTCCTTGTTAGAAGGTTCATAGGTTTTCATATGTTCCTATATTATAAACTTATCGTTTTTCCAGGTTGCCCGAAACTTGTGCACGCAAACAAAGTTGCGTGCGATGCATTCTTACTCGTTGAAATCGATGAACTTCGCTCAATGGGCAAAGAAGCTGGTGGGTCTGGGATGGTAGAGGATGTCACAGACCTACCAGGGGGGACCGAGGAAGTTGATGAAGACTGATCATGGGAGAAATTCTTGGTTATGTTTTGTTCCTGATAATATTATTCAGGGAGTATCCTTGTACTAATTCGAAACAGGGTTTTACTAAAGTACTAAACACAGCCTGATGTTAGTTAGTACTTCGGGAGTAATAATAGTAAGTTCCTAGTATGATTTGGGACGTTTTTAACAACTTAAATGTTATCTTGACTTCTAAAATGCATTTGTAACATGTGTTTGAGGGAGAAGATGACGGGTTCCTGGTATGATATGGGATGTTTTTAATGACGTAAATGTTATCTTTGACTTCTAAATTGCATTTGTAACGTGTGTTTGAGGAAAAAGATGACGGTGGTTGATCGAGGGTGATATTACTTGAGGCTAATAATGGGCTTTAGACAAAGGGACCGGTTCACGTGACATTTGTGTTCAGTGTCATAGCATGACCCCGGGCACTTACGGTGTTTCGTTTGAAAAATTAATGACTTGAAAAGTTAATGGTTCTGATCTTCTTAGTATCTATATTACTAGTATCATTTTCATAATATCATCATAAGCATTTTCTCAAAAAGATATTATTCACAAATAAGTTGAATGTGATAAATTAGTTAAATCGGCAATTAAATTTTAAAGTTTTTTTTAATGATTTTAAATAGTACTCGGAGTATACCTCTAGGATATTCTAAAAAATGGAGTACATGAATAATGACTCTTTTTATGAGACAAATGAGGTGATTTTTAATACCCAAAAAAATGAGGCTGAAGTCTAAGTAATTTTTAATCCTTTTCGGATTTTTGAATAATCGCTAGTCCAAAATTAATGCATCTGGACAACCAGATTCAGACTTAATTTACATCGGAATCTCCTACCGGAGCATGAACTGTGTGCACCGGAGAACTTACAAGTCTTGATTGATACAAGGGGCGATGCCATCATATTGAGCCAATCGCAATAGCTAAACAATGGTGCACAATATCCATCATCCACAGACCACGAGTTACTATATCGAATCATCTGCGAAACCCAAAAAATTCAGCATATTTTAACCAATTCAAAGTGAAAAGAGGGGTTGTTCCATTGGCAAAACTGATCACTCACCATGAAACTTTGCTAGCAAACTCCAGAATCAACCAAATGCACACATGCATTGTATTTGATGCTAATAAACAACCAGATGGTTTGGTAAATTATTACTACTTGGTAAATACTCCCTCCGGTCCTAAAAATTCTTCATGTTTTGACTTTTTTTAGTTCAAAATACTTTTCTCACAATTTGTGATTAAAAAGTATCCCTGTTTGACAAAAAAAAAGTCATAACAGGAAAATATTTTAGAACCGGAAGGAGTATTATTGCTATGTCACATGATAACAATAGTATAGCAATGCTGAAATTACAACAGGACATCCATAAACACCTTCATTGGATGGTCAGACAAGCACTAACATATGGAAGGGGGGGGGGGGGAGAA